TGGGAGTTTTATTACTGGGAAGGTGGGCGTACGTGCAAGCTTAAACAAACATCAGCACTGAGAGAGGAAAATAGCCTTGAGCTGAGACCACGAGGACTGCAAGTCGTGCCGATGGCGCGTTTCAGGGGAAACAATTTCAAATCTCTCAAGATTAAGTCACTGTCTCGGAAGTCAGCTCAGTGGAATCTGTATGTAGTCAATTGCTCAAAGGTAAAAGAATTTCGTTACAGTAGTTGGGTAATGCTTTACACAAGCTCAATTTGTGCTTCATTAGAGTCCTGATTTACAGGACAGAGGGGACACTGAGGCATAGGAAGCGTGTTCTGCCATTTATGCTTTTGGTATAGCATGAGACAGGTCAGCATCTTGGTACTGCTGGCCAAAGCCTCCAAATGCAAAAGCAGAAATCGTGTACATCCCAGAGCAGGCCTAGACGCAGCTGACTTGTAATTACAATAAGGTGGTAAGTAGAATTTATTTTCATCGTGGATCCATGTTACTATTCAGTTCTAATTGTATCATCATTAGCTGACTTTTCTTGTCACATTTTAGGCTGGTGCACGTTCTGTCCTTTAAATTAGTTTCCAGAATCTTGGCAGGTAAAACAAGATGTCTGCCCTCTTAAAGCTCCCCTCCTGTGAGTCAATAATACCACTTAATATACAGAACGACTTGTTTAGGCTACTGACAATTTAAGACAGTTATAATGAGCTGAAATAACAAAACAGGGCATGAACAACATTATGACAAATATTTAAATTGTCCTTAAGGTATCCCCAATTAAATTTCATCAAGAGTGTCATGTAGTGTAAAAAACCTCTTGTTTTACCCCCAGTCCAAAGATGGGATTTTTTTCCAAGACAGAGACGGTGCTTGCCCCAAACCACGTCCGAGTGGAGTGGAATAGCTGACACCTTTCACTTGAAGAGGTCTCCGTCCCTCTTGCTGTCAGGTGGGAAACGCTTGAGGCCCCGCGGGGCTCGGGTCTGCCAGACTGCCGGGGTCTGGCGCTTGGATCCAGCACAGGCGACGAGCTGGCAGGTTCTTACAGTAATGTGGCTCCCAGACACCTATGTGACATCAAGATCCATCATCTCCGAGAACTCTTAAGTATCTTGGAGACCTCTAGCTCAAAATCAAGCAAATTAAATTCAGTACAAACCAAGAATTTTATAACATCCTAATTTAAGGGTTTTTTTTTCAGCTTCCTCACATTCCAAACTGGGACATCCTTAAACCATTATTAGTGATGAAGGCAACGTTTCATGTTGTGCTTCATACGTAAATACGAATCTGAAGTATCAAAGAATCTGGAAGGGAATGGAACAAAGCAGCCTGAAAAGAATTAGCAGGGAAATAATTGTTATTCACCATCATAGAAAACAGATGGCTGGGAAACTACCTCATTGGAGCTTCTCATTTATTATAAGAGTTCATCCTGTGGGATCGGAGGTGTTTATTTCCTTCCCCTTCCCTAGTTACATACGTCCTTAAATGGGTGATGATTGATTGGTGAGGGAAGAGTGATTTTTACCTCACTTAGAGGACTGAATGAAGGCTTCTTACAAGTTGTAAGCTGTTTGGGACCTTTTAGCCAATTGTGAATGACTTTCTCCAAAGAGTCAAACCGCTCTCAGATCCGGCTCCTGAGCCGCCACAGTGGAGCCGCGTCCCCGCCGCGGGTTTAACAGGCCCGAGGAGCAGAGGCGGGCCGGGGAGCAGCTCCCTGCCAGCGCGCACCGGCGGAAGGGGCGCCCGTCCCGGGCGGCTCCGCGCAGTCCAAGCAACACCGCCTTGTGCTGGATTAGAGCAACGCGAAGAAACACGTCTACGTCTGCGTGATCCTGCACTGCGCAAAACGCCGAGCGTCGCGGAGGCCCGCAGGCTGGGGGAGCGATGGTTTTGCATTTGCGTCCGACGCTCCTGTTCACCGAGGGCAGTTCAGAAATAGGCTTTTGGGGAAATTTTACTTTACGCACCTTCCACTGTCTGCTCCTCACTTTCAAACCTGCAACCTGTTACCTCTGGAATCGTGTCCTCATGCTTTCTTTGGATAGTAAATCTCACGATAAATGTTTTCTCTTTAGTGCTGTTAAACGGAGCTTTGTGGCGAAGCGCAGGTTGTAGCTCATCAATGCACAGTCACAGTTAGTCGTATCCACAGCTGGGGAGATTTGGGGTTCAGTGGGCTGTACGAGAATTCAGATCTTGTCTTTTCACAGGCAAGAATCGCCTACTTTTTGAAAGCCCCGAGAGGCCCCACACTTTATCAGCCAGGCCAGGAAAGGCTATTTCACCCTGCGAGCTTGCTGTGAGCGGGTGCAGCTGCACACCGGGTGTGTAACCAGCACTCCCAGAGGATCCGTGAACGGGGACGCGTTACTTCCAGCCCTGTTGCTTGCTGGCTTACACGCACCGCAGCAAATCCAGGATGCTTTCCCTGCCCGTCTTTGGTCCGCTGCTGCATTACGCAGCAAAGAACTTCCTTGTGTCCGCCCCGATACTGCTGAGCGGCAGCTTTAACGAGGTTTATCCTCCCCATGTATCTTGTATCTAGCTACTGCCTCTAATCCAGCTACTGAGAAGAGCGTGGTCCATGTCCTGGGAAACCACGGGGTCTGCGCTTTCACAGGGCTTGCCCAGGACTTGCCCATACTTCTTCCTTACGAAAGTGAAATAAATTAATCTCGGGGGGGCGAG